CTTCATCCACCAGCTTTGCCTCCTCCTTCTCTCCAGTTCTCTTCTCCCTCTCCTCCTTCTCACAGTTCTCCCCTCCTTCTTTATACAGTTCTCCCGATCTCCCCCTCCTCCTTCTCACCAGCTTCTCCCCCTCTCCTTCTCCACCACCTTCTCCTTCTCCTCTTCCTCGTCACCGAATTCTCCCTTCTCCCTCCTCCTTCTCACAGCTTTTTCCCCTAGCTCCTCTCCACAGTTCTCCCTCCTCCTTTCTCACACTTTCTCCCTTCTCCCCCATCCTCCTTATGTTGTGCAGATTAGTGTGCACAACCTATTTGTACCAAGACGAGCTTGTCATTGTCGGGTCGGGGAGGGGCGGGGCTATCTAAATATTTCGCGTCCGGCGTACGTTAGCGCGACACCGCGCACTTTTTGGAATTGCTTTGACTTGAGTCGTTTTTGAAGCGTGAATAGATTGCAAGTCGCATGAATTGTGATTCGAAGTTTGCTGAATAGGTTTGCCACGACACGGACCAACAGAGATGGCGCCACATTTGTAACTAGACGCGGCACCGGTCCACCTCTCGGCTTTAGTACTCCGATTGGTGAATCGAGGTGGGAGCGAGTAACAGTCTAATGTAACGCGAAGTAGTTATTTCAAGGTCTTGGATAGTTGAAAGTTGGCTACATTGATTGTTAAATGCAGCTCTTTCATTGTAAACGTTCTATATATGTTTGAAAGCTGTATGATTAATTTTGTAATTGAAAAGCTATACATTTGTCGTTTGTAACCTAATATTCTGTAACCATGCGATAGATTCGCTTTCTTGCGCTGATAATGTTAAAAGTAATAAATTAATTTCAACTTACGTGAAGCTGATTCGTTATTTTGTATATTAATTTTACTTAAGCCATTTCATTGTTAGGGGCGCTGATGAAAAAACAGATTTGAACGCTTTGTGAGTTAATGCTAAATGTTCTAATTCAAATTGCAGTTAGTCAATTGGTTCCGTATGTTTTTGAAAATAAAATTGTACAGTTAGAAAATGATGTTATACAATGATCGTTGAATGAATTCTGTATATCAGCAATTATTTTGGAAAGTTATGAATTAATTTGGAAGTTAATTAATTGATTTGTTATTCTGTGATTGATATTAATATTTGAATTTAGATTTCTCGAACGAATATAAAGTAATTTGCTTTTTTATTAATATCATTGAAATGTTGAATTGATTTAAAGTTGTGTATTTTGAACACTGTTTGAAAGTGTTTTTGTGAAGGGATGGGCTTTCCATACATGGCGCTGTTGTTCAAATTTCGAAGCGTTGATGTTGTATAATTAATTAAGTATCTGGTTGGACAAATTAATGGTAGGTATAGCACGCATTTGTTAATACCAGTAAGTACGTTTGTATGCAGTAAAATCCTAGAGGCTCTGTGCTCGTTAATGTTCGAACACCGACTCCGTTCCCCCCTACGCGCCGGCTGTACTGTAGTGATACTCAGAGCCATTATCATTCAGGTACAATACAGAGCAATAGATATCTAGAGAAAGAGGTCAAATTATTGATAATATATTGCCATATATTGCTCTGTATACATATATTATACAGCCGCCTTGTATTACAACCGAGACCTCACGCGGATTGAGTGTGTACTAACAGTCTAACATATGCGTGTTACCCAATGTTCATAGGACATGTGTTTACCAGTGGACTAAGCCCTGCTGTAGCATTTACTGTGAAAGCACCTGCGTGGCCTCAGGTTACGGAAACGGAGATAGGCACCGTCTTTATGCTGCCAACATACGGTGACATACACGCACAATGACGGATGATTCTATCTTGTCGCTGATTTCGATCTGTTAGTGCGTTTACTCAGTTTTAAAGCACTCACTTACGAATGCGAACGTGCCTTAATTTACCAGTAAAGTCTGGCTGATGTAAGCAGACACTGTTTATTATATCCGACTCATTCGATCATTCATTTCGCAATGATCCCCAAAAAGGAGGCCACTTCCAGCAATCTAATATTCTACGTGAACGGGATCAAGGTATGGCGCAGGCATATTTGTGTATCACCATCCAGCTCACGTGCCTACGGTGGTGGTGTGTGTATGTGTGTGGTGTGTGTGTGTGTGTGTGATGTGTATGTGTGCTGTGTGTGTGTTGTGTGTGTGTGTGTGTGTGTGTGCGTGCGTGCGTGCGTGGTGGAGTCAGCGTGCGTGCTGTGCGGCGCGCGGGCGTCGTGTGTATCAGCAAGTGGAAACTGAAGGATACGATCAGCATGAATATTACACTGCCAATATATAGGCGCTTGTTAATTGCATCTCTCTTACTGCGTTCTCCGTTTGGAATTTTGTGTGAATAGGGATTTCTAAGCTTGGCGGTTGCGTCTATTTTGGAATGTGGCTAAACTAATTAATATAGGCCTATATAATATAATATTGGGCCTAACACGCGTACGCGTCACCATATAGCGACTATATATATATATATATATATAATATATATATATATATATATAGCTTGAACGTGAAATAGTATAGAAAGAAATTTGACATAGTCTTTAAGTTATGGCTTAAACCAAAATGTAGAACCTAAAGTTAAAAACTTCAGTTTAAACTTTTAGTTTCAAAATTACGGCGAAAAGCATTATATCTGACGGTCTTTGCGATGATGGTCGTGAAGAAGGCTTAACAGGGTCGACCTTCTTGCTCGGTTACCTTCTCCATATCTACAAAGAAGGGGAAGCGGGGAAGGTCTATTTCTCAGTTCCCAATTAATTGAAATCGCAATTTCGACCTTCGCCGCCTGTCGGATGTCTTCTATTCCCAAACCACAAAAATATTATCTGGCATATTTCCAGGTTCCAATGTAAGTATATAATAGTGCAGTCCCGAGCCTCCAAAATACCCTGCCCCCGTTCTACAAGGTTTGGTGATCAGTACTGACGTATCTCTCAGGAGTCTGTATCTATGCATAGTATGCAAGAGACAATGGCCATATATGTCACGGATGATACACATCATATAACCCTATAGATAGGATGGCGGCCAACGTATTTTTAAAATATGTATTATTTTGGCAACGTCACAGCTGTATCGGTACTCTGACACATAGTATGCGTGTGTTTTTAAGATTAACGGATGGGACATATGATCGACCGCGTATCGCCTTGCAGTACATACGTCTGCATTCGTATCCTTACGTGTCATTTTGTAATTTGTTGGACCGTTATTTAAATGTTGCGCATCTGTTGTGTGTTATTTGCTATTGACAGACCGCAATTTGAAACAAATATTCAATATAGCAGGTGGTAATGATTGCGCCAGTCGATTTTGACGCCTGGATATATTGGCCATAATTGTGGATACGCTATAAGCGTGGAAACATCCCACCGTTTTGTGTCCTAATAATAAACTTGTCATTTAGAATCTTATATGATATATATATATATATATATATATATATATATATATGTATGTATATACATTCTAATAATAATTGTAGTTGTATCATAATGTATGAAAACACGAATGGTCTTTATGATTGTAATCAAAGAAATTTAAACAACAAAATCGAGATGACGATGAATTGAAGAGGAGATTTGTCCCTAACTTGTCGTCCAGTGAGGCTGACTGGTTCTAAGTTGGGATGTGGCGAGGGTGGATGCGGGGCTTGCACTGTCATGCTCTCTCGCTACGACCGCACGAAGGACCGCATCGAACATTACAGCGTCAACGCCTGCCTGACGCCCGTCTGCGCCGTACACGGCATGGCCGTTACCACGGTCGAGGGAATCGGTAGCACCAAGACCCGTCTGCACCCGGTGCAGGTAATAAAAATGCTGACTTCAGCTTACAGAAAAAAACTCCCATGTTTATCGTAGATAAGCGAGCAAAATACGCGTACGTTTGACCTTCAGCGTAAAAGTAAAAAACGTTAAGGTGGGGTTGGAATTATAGCGGTCATCGTGATTCTGTGACGTCAGCGCCGGAGATATTATTATTTATATTATAATATACAATATATTATCTTATATCTAGACGTTTTCTTATTTTAGGAGAGGATTGCTAAGGCGCATGGTTCTCAGTGCGGATTTTGCACGCCCGGGATTGTCATGTCTATGTACGCTCTGCTAAGGAGTAACCCGCGACCGGCCATGTTTGACCTCGAAAACACATTTCAAGGTTGCCGTTCTATTTCGTAATAGATTATGATAATATGGCATAAGTAATCATTTCCTATACTTAGATATTATATATACAGGCAAATGACATTCAAATCCTCAAGAAAATATTTTTTGCAATGTTTTATGCAACAAAGAATTTGCAACGTAATCTATTCACTCACTACATAAACGCACACATACACACGTACGCAGCCACGCACGTACGCACGCACGCACGCACGCAACACACACACACACACACACACACACACACACACACACACACATACATACATATATATATATGCTCCTCATAATTCACTATCTAATAGATTAAACTAACGCATCATTGTTTATATCTCTCTATATAAACGGGCTACAATTAGGGAACCTATGTCGCTGCACGGGATACCGACCGATATTGGAGGGCTACCGTTCATTCACGACTACTGACACACAGCTAAGCGGATGCTGCGTTGCCACGGAGACAGGGGGAAAATGCTGCATGCAGGCGAGCGAAGATGCCCAGCAGACGGATGCAGATGACGAACTCGGATTACAGACGCCGAATAGTTGTGAAAACGGATGTGACGGACCGCGCACTAATGTGGGATCAGCGGTAAACAAATGCGACACTGATGTCGCTGAAGGTCAAGCAAATCCTCGGAAACAACCGGATGCTCGGCTGTTTTCAATGTCGGACTTTAAGCCGTATGATCCGACGCAGGAACCAATATTCCCAGCAGAGTTGCAGGTACACGCGATCACGCGCCAGACGGCGGGTTAATCACATTAATGCATTTTACATATTAACTATTAAATTTGCGTCCGCGAAATCTGTTTGTCCTGATGAATATTTAACAAATTCATACACTGATACAGGCTTCGTCGAAAGAATAATTATATAATTTATAGATTTAGTCGGTTGTAGATGATACCTCATCCAATAGCGTCTAATGGAACAAAACGCGAAAGTTAAATTTTGTTTCAGCTCTCGGATGACCTCGACAAAGAGTTATTGATGTTTAAAGGAGACCAGGTCACGTGGTACAGACCTGTTTGTCTGCAACAGCTTCTCCAATTAAAGCATGAACATCCAGATGGAAAAATAGTCGTCGGAAACACGGAAGTCGGTATATAGACCTAATATCAAGGTTCTGCCCACGGTGGGCGGCGGTGGGCGGGTGTGCCCGGCACTCGCGGTTGCCGCCTGGCACTATATGTCTCCGCCCGGCACTAACTTTTAATATAAAAAAAAAGAGTTTGATATATGGGTTTTTTATTGCTCAGAATGCAGGAAATTGAGTTTCAGACTATCAATAATCAAAATTTTTAGGGGGGCATGCCCCCGGACCCCCCTAGATTGGCTTCGCGCCTACGGCGCTTACATCTTGCGACTTCGTCGCAACTGGATGCGCCCGGCACTAAAAAATCCTGGACAGAACCCTGTAATATATATATATATATATATATATATAATATATATATAGAGAGAGAGAGAGAGAGAGAGAGAGAGAGAGAGAGAGGGGAGGGGGGGAGAGAGATGACATATCTAGCTGCGAAACATTAGTGCTTAATCGTTAAGCACCAGGTGAAGAACGCGTGACCATGCTTAATTACCTTCTCATTAATATCGAAGCCCACCTGTCTACGCTGACTGCTCTCACGCTCGCACTAGTTGCACTTACACAGGTGTCGAGACGAAGTTTAAAGGTTGTGTATACCCGGTGCTCATATCGGCTGCTTACGTTGCGGAGCTGACGGCAGTACGGCACACCGATGACGGCATCGTGTTTGGTGCATCCACGACGCTGACCCGCGTGAAGGAGGAGCTAGCTACGGCGTCGGATAACTTACCCGGTAAATCTATTAGACATCGATGCGAGGGCATGTTCATATATAGGAGGATATATCCCCTTATGATGACATGTGGTGGGTGACGGCTATTTTCGGGGCGTTGGTTTGAAGCATATTCATTATCTGGGAACCGAGAAATCAAATACCAGATATTTAAGATTTTAAATAACGGTGAGTTGCGATTTGATTCAACCGGGAACTGGGGAATGGCGGGACACTCGAAATGGACCAATCCCCATCGTTCCCTACTCTTGTACGTAATACACAAATAACACGTGGAATTTCTCCCTTCAGCTTACAAAACCAGAGTGTTTAGGGCTGTTCTTGAGATGCTACACCAGTTCGCGGGATGCCAGATTAGGAACGTAGGGGTAAGTGGCGTCGCATCTATATCCGTGACTCTAACTCTTGTTGTGAAGAAATTTTCTTCATGCTTTTTCATTATGCATCAAATTTTTATATACATTACTTATATTACAATAAATATTTACATTTACATTGCATTTTCATTGCACTTTTAAGCTTACCCTGTATGGTTGCAGTGCATTGGTGGCAACATCATGACAGCAAGTCCTATCTCAGATCTAAACCAGGTGTGGCAAGCTGCAGACTGCTACGTAGAAGTCACATCACTGCAAGGTGCTCGCAATGTCCTTAGCTATTTAAGTTTAATAAAGGTTTATATATATAAATATGTGTGTGGGGGGGGGGCGTGTGTGTGTGTGTGTATACCGGGGATAAATACGGTATGACATCGTGTATATACATATAGTTGTGTATCTGAAATATGTATCCTATCTACACGCTTAATTCGTGTACAATTAAGTTGCGATATTTTTGTTATAAAATTTATAAATGTGTTTACATTTTTTAATTACATATAATCAGGAGTTAATAAAGACAAATTTGTCTTTATTAACTCCTGATATAATATATGTTCAATATATATATATAACAATTGGTTATAACAACATCATTGGAATTCTTCAACATTTTAGGAGGAAAACGTCGAATTGAGGTTGATGATAAGTTTTTCCCCGGATACAGAAGAACGGCTCTGGAGAAGCATGAGATACTTCTGTCCATCTTAGTACCATATACTAAGCAGGTACCGTATATATATATATATATATATATATATATTATATATATTATATATATATATGATATTATATATATAAACACGCGCGCGGTCGTTTTATATGTTAGTGAAGGGGCCGAAGCACACGCAGACACACACACACACCACACAACACACACACACACACACACCACACACACACCACGCGCGCGCGCGCACACACCACCACACAACACACACACCATACACACCACACACACACAACACAATACACACACACACACACACACACACACACACAGACACACGAGCGCACGCACGTACGTACACACGCATGCGCGCACACAAAGATACATCTCAAAATCTTATTTTCCACTGCAGAATGAATATTTCCATGCATTCAAACAAGCGAAGAGACGAGATGACGACATCGCAATCGTCAACGCTGCAATGCGCGTAGAATTCCAACAAGCAAGTTCTATCATCAAGGATATAGCTCTAAGCTTCGGAGGCATGGCTCCGACCACTGTGATGCCATCTAAAGCAGCGTCCCTTCTTGTTGGCAGGTGTGTGTGTGTGTGTGTGTGTGTAGTATTAATGTAGCTCATGATGTGTGATGTTCATTCACCGTGAGCAATATTGCCTTCCTTTCGCACCAATTATGTAAAATAAGAGAAGTCTTTATAATATATAGTAAGATAACGTTTCTATGCATCAATAGTTAGTAATATTAAGAACTAAAAATAGCATATAATAAAACAAGGTAATAATACTAATATGTGTAGTATGCTGTTATAAGTAGCATATGCTGATAGAATAGAAGTATGCCAAAGACCGTTCTTTCGACATATAGCTTTTCAGTGAACAGAAATGTCAGGCTAGCAAGCTTTCCACGTAGCCGCGAGTATGTTGCGTGTTGTTTTTGCTATCGTTTGCACGTGCAGATCATGGGAGGCAGACATGATGGATGACGTCATGAAACTATTAGCAGACGATCTACCGATGGATCCGGGAGTTCCAGGCGGGATGGTCGAATATAGACGGTCCCTGGCTCTCGGCTTCTTCTTTAAGTTTTTCATAATGGTGAACCAAGCGTTGGAAAATACCGAGGTAGGAAACGTTGTTTTGAAAACTACTAGTATGCATACTTAAAGGTATCTTTAAAGGATGTCTACTGATAGAACTTTATCATATAAATCCATGCTAGGATGACTCCTCTTCATTTTAAATGCATAATCATTGCAAAATATAATTCTTCTCGCGAGATATATTGCGCATGCGCGAGCACCGTTTCAGGCGTGTAGTACCGACTAAAGAAAACTGCATAATATAGCTTGCTGTGGGAGCGAGGGGTAAGAGACTGAGGAAAAGCGATAGGGAAGATAGCTGAGGGGTGGTAGAAGAAGAATTAGGCTGAGCGAGGGACAGGAGAGACAATGGGAAATACGAGAGGGGGTGAAGTAGCAATTTTGTACCCTACAGGCTAGGGCGCTCTCCTAATTATAAACACAGGTTTACTGATAACAATTAATTACAATAATCTATGCTGAGATACCCCTTAACCATTTTAAATGCATATTAATCTCAAAATATAACACTTCTGGCAAGATATTGCGCATGCGTCAACACACTAACGCAGTCATATTATGTACTGGCTGGTATATGCAGTGGTCACCTTACATGCAAGGGCTTCGTCCTATTTATTAAGGGATGTCTACTGATAGAATGTTATCATATAAATCTATGCTAGGATGACTCCTCTTCATTTTAAATGCATAATCATTGCAAAATATTATTATTCTCGGGAGATATTGCGCATGCGCGAGCACCGTTTCAAGCGTGTAGTACCGACTAAAGAAAACTGCATAATATAACTTGCTGTGGGAGAGAGGGGTAAGAGACTGAGGAAAAGCGGCAGGGAAGATAGCTGAGGGGCGGTAGAAGAAGAATTAGGCTGAGCGAGGGACAGGAGAGACAATGGGAAATACGAGAGGGGGTGAAGTAGAAGTTTTGGACCCTACAGGCTAGGGCGCTCTCCTGATTATAAACGCAGGTTTACTGATAACAATTAATTACAAAAATCTATGCTGAGATACCCCCTAACCATTTTAAATGCATATTCATTACAAAATATAACACCTCCGGCAAGATATTGCGCATGCGTCAACACACTAACGCAGCCATATTATGTACTGGCTGGTATATGCAGTGGTCACCTTACAAGCAAGGTCTTCTTCCTATTTATTAATATACATAATAATATCACGTATAATATAATATAATGTAATATAATATAATATAATATAATGTAATGTAATATAATATAATATAATATAATTTTTATTTAAATTTAAATTTATTTAAATTTGAAATTTTTAAATAGTTTAAACAAATCTCTTCGTATACCCTAAATGTTGTTACAATCGTAATCATATGTAACTTTACTCGCGCCCCATAATAATCTAGTGATCAGATCCTAGATCAGACGGTACTGTGTCGCTTTTACAACGTGAAATGTTTCAGGGCAAGATCTCTAGTGGCTCTGAAATCATGACCGCTACTCTTCACAGAGGTCAATTCAAAAGCTCACAGCTTTACGAGGTGACCGTATTTTCAACTATTCAGAAATTAATTACATACTGATGTATATTAGTTTCTCTTTAATAATGTGTCTGACTTCATTTTGGTAACTACGTAAATAATTTAACGAATAAATAAATAAATAAACAAATAAATAAATAAATAAAATCGCATCTCGTGGACAAGTTACAATACGCATTCGGTTTTAATAATCTGACGTCACACACCAGGTTCCAACGATGGACCAATCGATCTCGGATCCGGTCGGACGGCCCATGGTTCATCAGTCAGCCTTAATGCAGGCTACAGGAGAACTACGTTACATAGACGACATCCCCAAATACACGGGTAACCGCTGAACAATCCACCCAGTCACCACACACACCCTAACTCCCCTCGCAATGAAGAAAAACTATAGATAGTTTATACGTGCATAATTCCAGCTGAAGTTGTTCTAGTGTACTAAGATACAGCTACTACAACTAAACATACAGTAAAAATGATATATAATCATAATATAATAATATAATATAATATAATAATAATAAGAAGAAGAATATCTGTGCATGTAATGATGCTACGATGGTTCTGCTGTTACAGATGAACTGTACCTGGGGCTTGTTCTCAGCAGTAAGACACACGCGACTATTGTGTCAGTAGATGAGAGCCAGGCAATGAAGATACCAGGCGTAGTGGCATTTGTGGATCACAGGGACGTACCAGGCAGCAACAAGACTGGCTCCATCATGATAGATGAAGAGATTTTCGCGTCGCGCGAGGTGCGCATTATTAAAACAGTACAGAATCGCTATTAATTTATAAATTCATTAACATTATTAAAAACGTTAACAGATCTTGCATTTATCCTCTCGACGACGATTTTCCATTTCGGAGTGAATGTTTCTGTGCGGTTTATCGTACGCTTCTTTTATTGCAACATCTTAATTTGGCGATGAATTTCCAATGAATTTACAGATAAACGTTACACGATGCAGGAGTTGTTTTGCATCTAACCGTTTTTTGTTGTTGTTTTTTTGGGTTTTGATTACTCATTAGAGGCTTAACCTCATGAGTCCGGGGAATCCGGCCACCCATAGTGGTCGCGAATCCACCGTTTGAATGTCAATGGAACGTTGGACGTTGATGTTGACGTTGATTGTTGAATGGAACGTTGACTTACACCTCACGTTAGTTGNAGCCTGCTAGGCCGAAGCGCCGTCGGTATCCGTCCCACCGCCGGCGCCACCCGTGAATACCCTCCGGACACGCGCCGCCCCGCCCCCTCCCCGTCGAGCTCACGTGCTGCACGCCCGCGGGACACCCGACTCGCACCGGAGAGACCGAAGAGGAATCCCCGCAACGGAGGGTCCGAAGATCATAGATAACTCGACAGGGCCGTGCGTGGGTGTCGGAGTGACGCAGGGGCCGATCCGAGAGAGAAGACATATTCATCTGTACCCTCACCTCGAGAAAGATGAGACGAGAAGCCAGGATAAGAGAGAGAGACGTAACACGAGAGACGCCTGGAGAGAGAGAGAGACGAAGAGAGATCGAGAAAGAACAGACCGACGAACGAGAGGAGATGACCGAGAGCAGAGAGATGAGAGGACGGTAAGAGAGAGAGATGAGGGAGACAGAGAGAGAGAGAGGAAAGAGAGGAGAGAGACGCAGAGAAGAGAAAGAAACGAGAGAAAGAGAGAGAGATGAGAGAGAGAGAGAGAGAGTGATGCTTGATGAGAGCAGAGAGACGAGCAGAGAGAGCAGAGAGAGAGAGAGAGAGAGAGAGAGAGAGAGAAGGGGGGGTGCAGCTCTTACTTAATCTGTACAGTGTTGGGGGATGCGGGGTGGGAACGAGGGTTTCATAGATGAATGTACCACGTGATGATTTACGATTACATTAGGAGTTATTTACACATATATTGAGCTTTTTGCTTTGTGTTTATCTGAACATCGAGCGGTCCCTCCCTCGCTCCCTCGGAGGCTACGTCTCTGATATAATAATGTAACAGATAGCTGATGGGTTTAACACTTCCCCCTCCCTCGCTCCCTCGGAGGCTACGTCTCTGATATAA